GCAGTTGAATGAGTGAGCTGAGTGAGACGGGCTTTTTCGTTGAAATTCCTGCCATGGAGGAGAATGTGGACGAGCAACTCAACAACGAAAGCCCGAAACAGGACGATCAAGGTTAGCAGCAGCAGCAGCAGTAGCAGCAGCAGTTCGTTTTACCGCAAAATTACTGCCCCGAGATGCTGTTGTTTTGCGAACACGGGCGGCGGTCCCCTTGCGAGCCGTTAAATTGGTACTGGCATGTGCCGGGGCGTCAAATTCGCCATCAGCTTGCTTCTAAGCAGCCCTCGAGAAAGGGTCCATCGACAGCCTTGCCAGCGATTGTGATTGCTGTTGGCATTTGTTATCACTCAGGCTTGTCATTTGGCGAGTACGGAGAGGGATTTTCAGATTGATACGGTTTCAGTGGTTTTTTCCCCGGCCAAAACCGCAATGCTGACGGTTTTTTTTTCGCCAATATTTTGTTTTACTTTTATTCCACTTTGTTTACGTTTTTAGCACAAATTTGAGTAATCATAATCATTGTAGAGATGGAAGAGCTAAATGGCGAAGTGCAGGCGGAATCATTCAACCAGGTAGCATCCATTTGATCGATATTTTTAAATAATTTAATTCGTAGGAAGTAAAAAAATTGATGTGAAACCTCAGAAAAGATTATCGTTTCGCTTCCCCACTGCAAAAAAAAACCACTTTTCGGCAGGGGAAATTCGAAACTTCCCGCTGCTCTCCTTCTTTTTCCGTTGAATTTCTACGATTTTTTGTTTTTGTAAAGTGATGCTGCTTATTTCTGTGTAAAAAATATGTAGAATCCGAGTTGCGATGCTGATGGGAATGAAGATGGTAATAATGATGGCGGTGATGATAATAAGGACGGTGGCGGTGGTGGTGATGACAATAACAGTGATGCTGATGACAATGATGACGATGATGGCGGCGACAATAAGTCGAAAACTTCTGAGGAAAGCGAAGAGGACGAAGAATATGTTGTGGAAAAAATCCTTGACAAGCGATATAATCCAGCACGAAGAGGGACGGAATATCTGATCAAATGGGCAGGCTATCCGGATGAAGATAATACCTGGGAGGCCGAGGAAAATTGCGTTAGTTTTTTCGTTATTATGTGAGAATTCGTGATTTTCTTGATTTTCAAAAGAACCAAATTCGTGCGTAGTTTCCTTATACTCGCAGTTAATTACTGCAGAAATGTGCACCAGATGCCATTCGTGAGTTCGAGGAAAAACTAAAGAAGCAGAAGAAAAGAAGCACCACCACCCAATATCAAACGCGCAGTAAATGGGCAAAAAAGGTACTGTTTATGATGCAGCGGTGCGTTTATTTTTATAAAAAATAGAAAAATTCAAGATTGCTTCTCTGTATTTTACTCACTCCGTTCAGGAATTTTTGGTTTATCGAATTAGCTCGAGCCGCAGCAGCATCACCTTGCCTATACTTATCTAGTTACTTAAGCAGCTAGCTTTTTGTCATCGACGTCCGTTATCGCGCCGTCACGATGCAGCTGACAACTTCTTGCCTACGGTGATTACAAACTGTGAGACTGTCGATAACTTTTTCTTTCGAATTTTAGACAGTAAGCAGCTGGTTTGAATTTGCTAACGCATTAAGGGTATAAATACCAATTTATAATCAGAACAAATGAATAATTAGCAGAAAGACTACCCCGAATAGCGCTTGCTTGAAACTTGACCCGGCTCAGCATCACTGCGCAGTAGTGCTTGTATTTTTTTAGTAGTGCTTCCAGGCCGACGGGCATAGTATAGTGAGAAGTAGAACTGTTGTTAAAGGTTCAGTGTGGGAAACCCCTAATAAATTCATTTCGATGGTAGCGAAATCAGAGAGTTTGAATTTATGAATAAAAGCTGAAGAAAGCAAAAGCAAATGAAAACCGAGAAAGCAGAGGCAAAAAACAAAAAACATAGCCGGGAATACAAACACGCGACCAGTTTGTTAAGCAACCCCCAAACACGGAGTTAACGGAAGCTTTCTTAATGGATATTTGCCGTTGGCATTGCTTCAAGAATGTTTTATCCGCATGTAGCCATAACTCCATATCGTTCACTTGATGCGATACCGTTGATTAGTTTAACATTTTGGCAAATGAAGTGTTATTTTAGAAAAGCGATTCGAGCGCGGCTGTTTCCAGTGGTAGCGAATCGAGCCGTAATCAGAGCGACGCAGAAGATGTTGACTGGAGTGTTGAAGCATCCCACAAACGGCCTCTTACGAGAGCTCGGGCGAAAAAGATCCGCAAGAAACGATCGAAATCTGGTAGAAGTTGATGAAAAAATTCTCAAAATCTCCCGTTCTTAAGAGCTTGGGGACGTAGGGGATGCTGCATTCGGTCTATGTTTACAGCTAAGGGATGTAAGGCAGACTGCACTGTGACATGTGTTCTAGCACAAGATATTTAGATTGGTCTCTAATTTTATAGCTCCTAGCCAGGGGACTTTTGAACTTCTGTCGGATGTGATGCTACTGCAAAAATGCAAGCGGTTGGGTCCGTTCCGTGTATTTTCATTACTTTTAAAGGGTTAAATTTGAAGACAGCTTTGATTATCGGAATTTTGAACGATTCCCCAGCACTCATGAAGTTTTTTTTTTTGTTTTTCAATCAGTGAATTATTACAGGAAATGATACGAGTGATGATTCGGATGAGGCCACCAAAGAAAAACGAGCTAGAGTGGAACGTATTCGCGGCGTCAAAAGAGGAGTAAATGGTGAAATTTTGGCACTGGTGTGTTTTGATAACGGCCGCAATGATCTCATATCCACACGGATTTTGGTCAAGAAATGTCCTGAGGTTATTTTTTATGCATTTTTGCACAATTTACATGTAAGCGCTTTATGATGAGATTATGTGTTTGTCAATTTTCCTTTGCCTGTCGGTGGAAGAAACTGTGAAAATTACACTGATATTTTGAAGGCGTGGAATTAAGCTGTATGTAGATACAGGAATGTAAAATCGCTTGTAGTCGCGTGAAGAATTTGGTTCTAAGCGAGTTGGCTGTTAAGCAAACGCATGTTTTTCTTTTTAGAGGGACGGTGCATGGGGGTTTTTTCAGAGGGGCAGTGCATACGGCTGCAAATTACACTTCACAACTCCGACCTTCCCTCCGAACCTGCTTGGGACGACCAGTTTGGTTGAGCTTCTGTGGCCCTTCTTTTCTATTCTATTTCAAATAAATGAGAGAAAAAGGAAGGATTCATCCACGGGATTACTAGAATTCGTGATCGTTAAACAAAAGCTCCTTCATGTTTCATTTGTCTGAAATTTGGAAGCTTCCAAATTTGAACGAGTGAGTCAGCAAAAGCAGCCGTTTGCTGGCAAATCTCCTATGGTTACTTCACTCGCAGGCCGCTTGAGATGAAGCTTTGGACATTTTAATTGATGCACTTTGTAAGGCACGATGGGATGACTCGGATTGAAACGTGCTACTGCTTATCTGTGGAGGGATTTTGTTTATCACTTATCAGCGGATGAAATATACTGTATTTATCACTGGACGAGACGTAGTTGCTTTTTATGCAATTTTATTCGATAGTTTTTTTTCTTTTTTGTTACAGAAATTGGTGGATTTTTACGAAAAATCACTGAAATTTGTTCCGCCGAGTTGCAAAGAAGATAATCCGCCCGAGTGAACATATGCGCACATGAAATGGTTGCGATGATTTTGTGAAACATGAATCAAAAGAAAGACCTCCGGTTATGAGTTAGCTTGTTTTATTGCTGGTCTTTTTTTTTTTTTTTTTCGTTGTATTTGTCTTTGTTGCCTTTTAAAGGCTACGGTTTTTCTGTGTCAAATTCGGGCCTCGTTGCCGGTTCTCTCGGTTTGGCCCTCATCGCATTAGCAAGGGCATCGTTTGTTGCTTTTGTTGTTCTGTGTGTCTCAATTCTGTGTGCTGATTTTTTACTGTCTGAGCAGCACGCAAAATCTTTTTTGGAAAAAAAGAATGCTTATTAGCAAGTGGTTCCATGTGCTGTTACGATAGTTCCTTGTTTCTCCCCTGAGAAAATCTTGCATATTGCTTGCTGATTTTGTTTTATTTTCTCGGCGATGTGAATCTGGTTCAGGAATATGCCCAAAACATGGTGGGGTCCT